GTTATTCTTCTTTGCATCATCTAGCAGCTGCTGGATTGATTTCTTGTGTTCCCTTACAATTTTAACAGCTGGTCTGTTTATAAATGAACCAAAGAAGTAGCTTTGGAGTAGGCTATCCTTTTCTTCTTCTTTTAAATAATGGACAGATTCACCAAGATACTGATGATTCTTATTATAAATGACCTTGCATAATTAATTTGATTTGCCAAATATTTTTATACCTGTCACTTTGTTTCCCAGAAAGTTCATGGTATGAGCAGAGCAGGGATTTGTTTCCATTCTGTAGATGAGGAGACTGAGGCCCAACGAGTTTTGCCGTTTGTCTGTGGTTGTGCAGTATGTGCATAGCAGAAATTGGGGGCTAGGTTAGAATCCTAGTGGGCTTAAATATTGGCTCAGGCTCCTACCTCTCCTTCCTCAAACTTTCACCACTCCACTGTGCACCTGTGAGGCCAGGCAGCTGTTCAAAGCAGAAACCATGGCTGACTCCACACTGCCTATTGCTGCATGTGGGCCTGCTCTGTGATTCTCATTCTGTGTCAATATTGTGACTCCTGCCTGGGACCACTTGTTCATGAGCAATGGATGGAGCATCTGGAGCCCTGGGTTCTTGTCCTCATTCTGCCAGTGATTTGCTAGTTGACTATGGCAAAATCACCTCCCCTCCCTGGGCCTTAGCTTCCTCATTGGTGAAATGAAAGGTTGAACCAGGTCACTCCAAGGTCTCTCTAGCTTTGTGGTTCTCAGTCTGTGACCCCTGAATCATCATGACCTTCATGATATGTGGGGGCTCCCATATGGTGGCCCTGACCCCATGCTCTCCCAAGAATGTGGCAGTTGTTGGATCATTACCTGGGGTCAGGGGCCTGGCTTTCACAACTCAGGAAAAGAGGCTGCCAGTGGGCTTGAGTCCTGGGGTCTCAGCTCCTATTACATCGACCCCGCCCTTCCTAGCTGTCTTGGTGTTTTCTGAGATCTCCTGCAGAAACAGGAGCGAGCCATCACAGACCAGACAGGGGGAAAGGAAGGAGGCTTGGGTTTGGGCTGTGTTCACTCACTTTGGCGGTTTCTTTGGCAGCCTCCGGTGGCAGTGGTGACAGTGAAGAACCAGTCTAGGAGCCCCATCAAGCGGCGGTCGGGGCTGTTTCCTCGCCTGCACACAGGCTCTGAAGGCCAGGGGGACAGCCGGACACGATGGTAACTGCAAGGGGCCTTACTCCAGCCCAACTTGGAGTCTGTCAGCTGTCTGCACCTTAATAGCAGTCAGGTGCCCACCCTTGGTAGGGAGCTTGGCTTGGCTTCAGGAGATGGCTTCCCTTTAAACCCCAGCTCACCTTAGGCACCTGCATGGCCTGCCACTCACCTCTTTAACCACTGAGCCCAATATGGCCATTCTTTACATGGAACTCCAAAGCTGTTCTTGGCAACATTTTGACCTAGGCTAGAAATGGTGTTTGGGTTCTTGTCTTTCTTTGCCTTCTTTTAAAATTCTCATTCAGATGTCCTTTAAGAATTTTTTTTGGTACTGGGGGTCAAACTCAGGTCCTTGCACTCGCGCAGCAGGCAGGGAAACCACTGAGGTAAATCCCCGGGCCATGGACCTTGTACTTTTGAGGCAGGCATAGTGCCACTGAGCTCAATCCCCGGCCCTAGGATGTCCTTTTTGCTGTACTGGGGATAGAACCCAGGGCTTTGTGCATGTTAGGCAATAACTATATCACGCAGCTACACCCTTAGATCCAAAGCCTCCCTCTTATGGAATCCTTCCCAGATTTTGCCAGGCAAAGTTAATTGACTTTCTGGACTTCTAGAATGTCATAGATATTTTTTTTTAGCAACTTTCATATTATAATATAATTTAACCTATTCTTTTAATTGTCTTTCTGTTCCTTTAATTGATGAGCTCATTTGTTCTTTAATTCAGCAAGCAACATTTATTGAGTGCCTGCCATATGCTAGGTGTGCTTCTGAGTGCTCAGCAAGAGCTGCCAAAGACACACACCAGCCCTCTAGCTCACAGTCCTATGAGGGGAAGGAAGACATTTAGATGGACTTGCAAGTTGTCTGCCTGTGGCCCTGGGTGGTTGTCCGATGCCCTAAGCTAGGGCATGTGGGACAAGGGGCAGGTTTATAGAGAAAGACCAAAAAGCTCTGTTTGGAACCTGTGCACAGGAGTCTCATGGGCCACCCAGCACTAGAGGTGTCCAGCTCTTGAGTTTTGGACAGAGGTCTTGGCTGGAGAAAGAGTTGGATAACACTGGGGTACGAGTGCTAGTTTAAGAGAGATGAACCAATGAATATGATCACCTAGAGAGGGCAGGTGGAGCACTAGCATACAAGTGCAGGTGGAGGATAGAGAACTGGTGAAGATGCTGGGAAGGAAAAGAGAGGAGAAGATGCAGAAAATAGGGTCTCTGAAGCTATGAGGACAGAAATTCCATTAGGGTCTGATGTGCAGGCAAGTCTAGCACAGAGACCCAAAACCCTGTGTGGAATGACAGTGAGGAGGTCACTAGCAACCTCATCATAAGCTGCATTGAGGCAATTAGCACCTCTAGGGTAGCTGTGATAAAAACAGATAATAGCAAGTATTGGGGTATGAAAAATTGGAGCCCTTGTTCATAGTTGGCAGGAATGTAAAATAGTGCAAACTGCTTTGGAAAACAACTGGCAGTTCTTCAGCAGGTTAAACAGAGTTACCATAGGGCCCAGAAATTCCATCCCTAGGTATATATCTGAGTGAATTGAAAACGCTTGTCCATAAAACCTAGTACAATAGTATAATGAATATACATATCCATTGTGGCACTATTCATAATGGCCCAGAATGGGGACAGTGCAAATGTCCATTTATGGTCTATCCATAAATATGGTCTATCCATAAAGTGAAATATTATTTTACAATAAAAAGGACTAGAGTAGTGATGCATACTACAACATGGGTGGACTTTGAAAACGTTATGCTAATGAAAAAAGCCAGACACAAAGACCATGACATACTGTATGATTCCATTTCTATGAAATGTCTAGACAGGCAAATCTATAGATACAGAAAATAGGTCAGGGGCTGGGGATTTAGCTCAGTGGTTTTGCTGCCTGCTTCGCAAGCGCAAGGACCCAAGTTCGATCCCCGGTACTAAAAAAGAAAGAAAGTAGGTCAGTGGTTGCCAGAGGGTGAAGGGGAGGAAGGATGGGCAGTGATTGCAGATGGGGCTGGGCTTTCTTCTAGGGGGTCTAAAAATGTTCTAAAATTGGACTTTGGTGATGGTTGCACAATTGTGTGAATATACAAAAAACCATTTAATTGCCCATTTTAAATGAACGAGTTGTGTGACATGTATATTTTATCTCAATAGTGCTATTATTGTAAAAAGTGCACTGAGGACAGAGTAGTCATGTCCCCAGCAGGTGGCACAGAGTTGAACTTCAAGAGAAGGGAACTTTTGGACTCTTGTGCTAAGAGCAGCCTTTTGCTCCCCAGCACCTAGGGCCACCTTGCCACATGGACCCAGGGGGCTGATATTATAGTTTATATGTAGAGTGTTCCCAGAGTCATACTGCAGGCAGACTTCCTGGAGCCTTATAGGAATTCTGTGTATTGGGCCTTCTCTTGAACAGAGCCCCCTGTTCCCTGTGGGAATACTCACTCTGTTCTCTGTGGGGTCCTCTCTTGACCCATTTGGGACAGCCAGCTTGGGGGAATGTGGAGACTTGGGCTAAAAGCCATGAAGCCACCCTTGAATTCTCCATCCTTGAACCTAGAGAGGTCCTTACCATAGGGAGCATAAAACCCTGTTGTCTACTGCAGTTTCAGGAGCTGGTGTGGGAAAAGAATTCTGGGCAGCTGCACTTTGTATGGGGTACTTGCGCCCCATAGTCAGAGCTCCGTCTCAGGTCTGCAGGTGGACCAAAGGCTTAGGGCTGGCTCCATGGTCTCACTCCTCTTCATTCTCTCTTTCTCAGTGACAGTGCATCCAGCACCCCCAAGACTCCAGATGGTGCACACTCTTCTCAGGAGATAAAGTCTGAGACCTCATCCAATCCCAGCTCTCCAGAAATTTGCCCCAACAAGGAGAAGTAAGAAAGTGAGGGGAGGGAAAGACTGGCTGTAGCTATTTAGAGCCTGGAACATTTGTTCTGGCTCTAGACAAGCCAGGAGTGACTGCCTCTTACCTCTGGAACTCTCTGGAACACAAAGGCTGGCAAGCAGGGGTACAGAGAGCTGCTGTGGGCAAGTTCAGGTCTCTTCTGGGCTGTTCTGCTCTTGGTCTGGGGAGGCCTGGAGCTGAGGAAGGTCTTGGTGGCAGGTAACCAGGGCTTGCCCCTCTTCTCCTTCCTGCAGGCCCTTCATAAAGTTGAAGGAGAATGGCCGGGCCAACATCTCCCGCTCCTCCTCCAGCACCAGCAGCTTCAGCAGCACTGCAGGGGAGGGCGAGGCCATAGAGGAGTGTGACAGTGGGGTAAGTGTGCCTGTCCAACTTGGGGAGTGCACTTTGCACCCAGCTGGCCACACTGTGCATTAAAATAGCAATGTGCACAAAGCCCTGCTCTGTCTGTGGGGATCAAATGGAGGCACAGAAACACGAAGTGGCTCAGGTAGCTGTCACCATCTCCTGGGAGCAATGCATGAGGGCTCTCTCTTGGAGTGGCATAACAGCAGCAGTAGAGGAACAGGGCCAGGCTGCGTTGTGTCCTTGCCATGGGGACCCTGGCTGGGGAGGTAAGGGGTTAGTGCCCCATGAGCCTGGGGCTTGGGTCTAAGGCCCCTCCTGGAGGGGCAGAGGTTGGATCCAGGGCTGAAGCAGCAGGAAGGAAAGCACAGATCCAAGTGTGGAAGAGGGAAGCAGTGGTCACCATTGGCTTGGGGGCCTCTCAGGCCTGCCCGGGCAGGGACTCCTGTGGCACTGCTGAGGGTGCACTTGTCTCACTCACCCGGCCTCTCTCCCCAGAGTAGCCAGCCGTCCACAACCTCACCTTTCAAGCAGGACGTGTTTTTCTACAGCCAGTCCCCCAGCAGCGAGAGCCCCAGCCTGGGGGCAGCCGCCACCCCCATCATCATGAGTCGGAGTCCCACAGGTCAGTGGCATGTGTCGGTGTGCACGATGTGCCCTGATTTGTGCTCATGGAGTAGGTGCCTCTGGCACCATGTCCTGGCCAGTTCCCACTCTTCCTCAGAGGTTTTAGGTCCTTCAGCTCTGCCAACTCATTTCATCTGTCCACCAACTTTGAGAGACCTATGTTCTTATCTTCACCCTACATATGGGGAAACTGAACTATAAAATAGTTAAAACACTTGAAGTCATAAGTGTAGGAAAGTATTTTTTAAAACAGAACTCCAATTGCATAAGAAAAAAACGACAAAAATCAACAAATGGAATTACATCAAAAGCTTCTGCACAGCAAAGGACTCAGTAGGGTGAAGAGACAACATACAGAATGGGAAAACATTTTTGCCAGCTTTTCCTCAGACAGAGGACTAATATCTAGAGTATATTAAGAACTAAAAAAAATTAGACCACCTAAAAAAAAAGTCCTAATCAAGAAATGGGCAAGTGAAACAAGCAGACACTTTTCAGGAGAAGAAGTACTTATCACCAACAAATATATGAAAAAATGTTGAACATCTCTGGCCATTAGAGAAATACAAATCAGAATAACTCTTTTTTGGGGGGGGGTACCAGGGATCAAACTCTGCACTTTGCACTTGCGAGGCAGGCGGCAGAACCACTGAGCTAAATCCCCGGCCCCAAATCAGAGTAACTCTTTTTTTTTAATATTAAATTCTTTTATTGGTACATTGTAGGTATACAACACAATTACATTTCTCATTGGGAATTGTACCTTTACATAATGCATCTTGGTTCTTATTTTTTCCCCATTCCTAGCCTTCCCTTCACCCCCTCCACCCTTCCCTATTTACAAAGACTTTATTTCCATTTTTTCCATTTCTCAACATTTTTCCTTTCCCTTCTTTCCTTTTCCCTGTCCCTCCCACTACCCCTACCCCTTTGGACCTTTTCTTCCTATTTTACATTATCAATTATTCATTCTAATCATTGGTCCATTTTAGGTATGCAATATAATGACATTCATCATTGGAAATTTGCACCTTTACATAGTCTCTCTTGGTTCTTATTTTTCACCCTTGCCCAGCCCTCCCTTCAACCCTCCAGTCCTCCCTATTTACAAAGATTTTGTTCCTATTTTTCCATTTTCTCATATTAATCCCATTCCCTTCTATCCTTTCCCCTAGCCCTCCTACTTCCTTTCCCTTTGCTCCTTTTCTTCCTATTTCACATTACCTATTATACATTTAGTCCTTATTTACACTTTCAGTTTCTCACACCAGAGAAACTATTCGGAATTTATTCATGTGTGTCCTATTTATTTCACTTAAGAGTATCGCCTCAATGTGCATCCACTTAGCTATAAATGTCTCTAATTTCTCATTTTTGATGGCTGAGTAGTACTCCATTTTATAAAAAACCCCACATTTTCTTTATCCAGTCTCCAGTTGATGGGCATTTGGGCTGTTTCCAAGTTTTAGCTATCAAAAACTATGCTGCTATGAACATGGGTGCACATATATCACTGTGGTATGATTCTTTTAATTCTTTGGGGAAGATCCCCAGCAGTGGAATAGCAGGGTCAAATGGGACTTCCAGTCCTGGTTCTTTGAGGTATCTCCATACTGATTTCCACAGTGCTTGCACCAGTCTACACTCCCACCAGCAGTGGAGCAGGGTTCCTCTTTCCCCACAGCCCCGCCAGCATTTGTTATTGGTTGATTTCATGATAGCAGCCATTCTTTCTGAAGTGAAGTGGAATCTCAGCGTTGTTTTCATTTGCATCTCTCGAATGACCAGTGATGTTGAACATTTTTTCATGTATTTATTTGCTATTTCTACTTCTTTGTCTGAGAAATGTCTGTTCATTTCAGATGCCCATTTTTGGATTGGGTCTTTAAATTTGGGAGGTCTGATCTTTTTAAGTTCTTTATAGATTCGAGATAGAATAACTCTTAAGAATGTATCTTACACCAGAAAGAATGGCAATCATTAAGAAGCCCAAGAATAACAAGAGCTGGTGTGGCTGCAGTGAAAAAGGAACCCCTCTTACATTGTTGGTGGTAAACTAGCGCAACTATTATGGAAACTAGTATGGAAATCAGGAGATTTCTCAAAGAACTAAAATTAGAAATTCTGTATGACCTAGCTATTCCCCTTTTAGATATCTTCCCCAAAGAGCTAAAGATATCATATTACAGTGATACATGCATGCCCATGTGTATAACAGCATAATTCATAGTAGCTAAATCCTGGAAGCAGCTGTTATACCCATTAACAGATGAACGGATAAAGAAAAATGTGGTATCTGTACATAATGGAATACTACTCGACTATAAAGAGGGATACATTTGAGACATTTGTGGGAAAATGAATGTGTCTGGAAAATATAAAGTTGAATAAAATAAACCAGACACACAAGGTTAAATACCATATGGTATCTCTCATTTGAGTGAGACAAAGTATAAACAAAGAACATAATAAAGAATGGATAGAAGGAGGGCCGGGGATTTAGCTCAGTGGCACCATGCCTGCCTTGCAAGTGTAAGGTCCTAAGTTTGATCCCTGGTACCAAAAAAAAAAAAAAAAGGATATAAGGAGATAGGGGTTAGAACTTTTATAAATGGGAAAGAGTCCTGGAGACTGAGGGTGAGAGGAGAGGGGGGACAGGAAGGGGAAGTAAGTAGAATTAAGTTATGCCATGTAGGGCTGGGGATTTAGCTCAGTGGTTCTGCCGCCTGCCTTGCAAGTGCAAGGACCCGAGTTAGATCCCCAGTACCAAAAAAAAAAAAAAAAGTTATGCCATGTACAGAAGCCTAATAATCTCAATGAATGTAAATATCATGTTTCATACACATGAGCTAAAAATAATAATGAGAATGAAAATGGGGAAGGAGGATTTAGAGGCAGAGAGAGAGAGAGAGATGGGTAGGAAGGGGATTAAAAAAACAGAAATAAGCTATATTATGCACATGTATCCACTCCACAAGATGAATGTAAACTTCATGTACTATAAACATGTACTAATAAAATAAAAATAATAAATTAATAAAAATATTTCTCATGATAAAAAGTGTTCCTCCGTTATACACCCACACATATGCACAGTTATTGTGAATTTTACTGATATAATGAATCTGAAGCACAGTTTACAAATAATGATAAAATATACAACATTCCTTATTTAAATCTCATATGTCCAATTGATTTTTCACAGGACATTTCCGTTGGTATTTCTCTAACTTTTGTATCATAGCCAGCATAATGTTGCAGATCACAAATGTGATTTCAACATGAATGTTGATGAATATAATTTATGTAAATGAATATTTTACACTAAGGGAGCTTTATTCCTGTGTGGGTGATATGAGCAATTTCTTTGCTGAATTGGAGGATAGTTTTCAAATACTGGAAGAATATTTACTCAGTCTTTTGATGTTCACAACGTAATGGCTGCAGATACAACACTTTTTTTTTTTTTTTTTCAGATACAACACTTTTTAAATTTTTATTTTTGAGCAGTATGGGGGATCAAACCTAGAGTCTTTATGCTGAGCTACGTCTCCACTCTTTATTTTGAAACAAGGTTTTGGTAATTTGCTAAATTGCCTAGACTGGGTTCTAACTTGTGATCCTTCTGCCCCAGCCTTCCTGGGATTACAGGTGTGCACCACCACACCTGGCTTTACACAACACAGTTGAAAAGTTTAACCCACATTATGATTTTTCTATAGTTTCTTTCTTTTTTTTTTTTTGTTGCTGGGGATCGAACTCAGGACCTCTCCATAGTTTCTTAAGTCTAGACAACAAATTATAAGTCAAGCTCTGATTTGTAGCATTGGCCAGTTTTTGTGGTGTAAATACGCCTGTCATGACTGATTTTAAGCTACCACCGTGATGTCCCTGAATGATACAGCAGATAGAAGAGAACATATAATAATAGTAAAGCATAGTAAAATAACGAGAAAGTGAATTTTGAGTATTCATTATCTTTGCTGAATATAATTTACCTACTTGTAAGCCTGTAAGTTTAATTTTTTAAAATGACCTGTGTTTAGCAGCTAGCATGCCGTGAGGAGAGGTGGAATCTCTTTCTCCTCACCACTCTACTCAGCCAGAATGACCTCTATAGATGCACTTCCTTTTCATGGATATTCTTCTTTTCTTAGATGCCAAAAGCAGAAATTCCCCGAGATCAAACCTGAAATTCCGCTTTGATAAGCTCAGCCACGCCAGCTCCAGTGCGGTAAGGATCCAGGGTGTGGGGGCAGCTCCTTGTCCCAGTCTCCTCCAGAGTCAGCCTGCCTTCCTGAAGGCTGCAGGGGAAGCGCATCTCAGATACTACGTGGGGGTCCCCTAAGGGAGGTGGAGAGAAGACAGCTCTGGCCCCATGTGGGGGTCATGTTGACTGTCTTTATATGGTGGAGGCACCTGCCAGGGGCTTACCAGCCGTCTTTGCCACACTTCCTACATCAGAGCCACACTCTTGGGCACAGCTACGCCCACATGTGAGTCATGAATTTCTGGCTCCCTGGGCCTTGTCTTGTGCCCTTTCTGAGGTCATCAGATTGTTGAGAGCAGAGCACACAGAAGCTGAGGGTCAAGCAGATTGTTGTCTGGTTATTTAAAACTCATACAGATGTTTCCTGAAACAGGGTCACTAATGTGAATGAAGAATTCTTCTCCTATCCAAGGTGGGTGAGTGCTTGTCCTGGGGTGGCCATGAGGGGAGAGCATGGTACCAAGAGCCTTGTGACCTGAGAATGGCCAGAGAGACCCTGGATCTGGGGAAGTCCCCACAGTGGCCTCGGCCCTGAAGCCTCTATGATGGGCCTCCCCACGTCTGTGAGGGGAAGAAGGTGCTAATGCGGTGGGTGTGATGGGTTGCCCATGAGATGGGGGCAAACTCATTATGTAGATCTCCCAGGCAGAAGAGGCAGCCCAGGGCCCACCTCCTCCCGAGGGAAATGCTTCTCAGCTTCTTCCTGCCTTTCCTGCTCTCAGGCAGCCTTTCCCTCCCTCCTTGTGTCCTTGACCAAGGCATGAGTCCACTTGTCCGTCAGGCCTGAACTCCTGCTCATGAAGTCACCAGAGAGTGTCTGACCCTCTCCCCAACTCTCCCTGTCTGGGGCTCCCAGTGATCTGAGTCCATATGGGTCCAAGGGGAAGGGTATAGCTGAGCCCATTTTATGTTAGACCTGTTACGGAAAAAATACCTCCACCATCTGTTATGGACTTTGGGTGCCTCTGTTTACCAAAGTGCTGCTTATGCCCCACTTCTGGGGCTGTGTGAATGATGTTGGACTCCCTTGTGTTTTGCGTCCTCTTCCTGACTGTAGTTAGTGGGCCACAGCCAGGGACATTGTATGTGTCCCCGCCCTTAGTCCTGAGTGTGTTTACCCCGCTTTCTTTGCCAGATGTGTGCTCATTGTCTCCTGCCTTGCCTCTTCCAGGGAAGCCCCGATTCTGTCCTGCAGAAGGCTCCTATTCCAGCAGTTTGGGGGTGCCATCCACTACTCTGATCGTGACAGGCCCACCGGACCAGCTGTCTGTCCTGTGTCCTGACCTGGTCACAGTGCTGCTGGGCTCTTCACCAACACACCTTCATTTCTGGACAAGACCTTATTCCTGGAGGCTCCCTTGCTCCTGACCTCCCAATGTGGTGTCTGTCTGGGTCATTTGCCAACTTGTTTTGTTTGTAGGAAAGACAGTTGGGGAAATGGGGCTCTAAGTATGGGGCTCAGCCAGAGATAGGGGAGCTCATCTGCTTCAGAGGCAGAGAGAGTGGTGAGGTGGGGAGCAGAGAAGACCGCAGAACATAAGATGGCCCCCATCTGTCCTTGGTCACAGTGCAGTGCCCTCCTGAGTATGGTAGGAAGGAGCTTTACCACCACCCATGAGTGGAGTAGAGGTGTAGGGGCTGCTTCCCCAGAGCCAAAATTTGTAGCATCCTTGAGGCTGTCCTGATAAAAACAGCTCTTTTGTTCCTGTATCTCTGGAGCTCCACAAACACCTCCCTGGCCTGTGCTAAGTACTTTGGACCCATCTGTTGGCACTGGCTGAGGGCTGCTCCATTCCCGCTGTCAGTGCGCCTTGAGCCAGGCTTCAGCAAGTGGAATCTCCAAGACAGAGCAGATGTGTTTGGGACCAGTGCTTTACACTTCCTTGACTGTAGCTGGAACTTTCTGTCCTGCTTAATTTCATGCAGGTTCTGATTATCCTCGCTATGGAAGAAGCCGCAGGCAATCATTCCTTTTTGAGCAGATAATTTTTTCCCCTTGAAGGAGGGGGAAGCCAGGAATGAGAAGGAATTCAGGGAAAAAGAATGAGCCAGTGGTGGGGCAATCATTGGTTGATAACCTCAGGGCCCAAGGGCTCAGCCGGGGTCTGTGGGATCCATATTTCTGATGCTCATAGAGGTTCAAGGAGGACGTAAATGATGATTTAAACCACCCATTTATAAGAGAGGGAAAGGGGTAGCAGGGGATGGCTTGGCAGGTTCTAGGCAAGCCAATGTGTAGGGGTTGAACTTAGGTGTGCGAGGAGGAACATAACGTCCCTTGGTGATCATGCACCTCCCTGCCCTTTGCTGGGGAGTGGACAGCATTGCCTTGGGGGCTTCTTCTGGCTGTCAGGGGCTCCATCCCTCAGTCTTTCTCTTCCCTCTCCAAATGAAGGTATCTAGGCGGTTGTCACATCAGTAGGATTCCTGCAAGCCAGGCCCCATCTAGCTGTGGTTCAGATACTGCATGCTGCCTGCACCCCTCCCCAGTGCCACCTTCTCTGGGATGATGAGCCAGTTTGTTCTGGAGAGCAGCCCTGCTGGCTCTTCACCTGTCCAAGTCTGCAGGGAGTTTCTGCTGCTAGGTTTAGGGTGGGGTGTCTGCCAAGTAAAACACAAGAGCCTGAACAGCAGACCTTTGGAGGTTTTCCAGCCTCAAGTGCATATGGGCCTTTGGGACAGGCCTGCTGGGGTTATGCAGGCTAGGCTCCCTCCTTTAATGAACAGATGACAAGATTTCCAATCAAGTGCTTTTATCTGTAACAGGGATCTGGACTAACAAGCCAAAGCATAGAAATGGGACACATTTTTTGGACTGACGTTGTGTGACTATTTCTCCATTGCTTTTTCCATTAGGGCAAACCTTTGATATTTTTGTTCCTTATTTTCATATTGGATCCTATTTACAGCCTGGGGGCATCCCCCCTTCACCCTATTTGAAAAATGTGGTTACATACAATACTAGTTTGGTAAGATTTATTCTGGTTAGAAGGTCAACAAAATGTCTGTTTAGCTTTTATTAAAAGTCAGTGTAGCGGCACCCATTGCTAGACTGAGGCCTGTGGATTCTGGCAGCGTTCTGTTGGCTGAGTTTCTGAAGGAACTTGAAAGGTCAAACTGTATTTTCTTTGAAAACTCTTACAGGATTCTGGCTCACCTCTTTGAGTAGCCAGTATTTACAGATGCTTGGTGGTTGTGCTGTGTTGCACTATAGTCTGGAGTCCTCTGGGGTTTCCAAGCTGTTCTCATGCTGTCATATTGGGGAACCTCATATTTTCCTGTCAGCACTGCTCTGGCTGCTCCCTCTGCAGTCCCCACCTCCTGGCAGTGCCTCCAGGCCATTGGGCAGGATGGCAGGGTATGTCCAGAGGAACCAGGAGGCACAAGTGTGCCTCCACAGAGGTGCAGAGCACTCTGTGTTCTACTGTTGGGGTGCTCAGGGCAGGGTCTGATATGCCCCCTCCCTCTGGGTCATGCCTCACCATCTCAAGAAAGCCCATCCTGTGGTTTCCAGTGTGTGCACCATCAGTCTGCCTGGGGTCCCCATGCTGAGGGGGAAGAGGAGCAGGATGGGGTCCTTTCTCCCTTCATTCTTCTGGGCTGTGGGCAGCGTTTCAAGTTCCTGGAGGGCTTCGACCCCCATAGTCTGACTCCCAGTGTCTTTCCTTGTATTGTTGTACTTAGTCTTAGGGCCCAGACCTGTGTAGATGGTGCTCATAGTGATATTTGGGGCATTTCCAATGTGACCTTCATCAGGAGTTCATATCTCTACCCCTGAGGCCACCTGACTCACTGCAGAAACTATACTTTCCAGGCACCGTGGGGCACACAGATGCTTCTAGCTCCGTTGATGTTTAAAAGAAGATGCAGAAAAGCTTGAGATGGAAGGTCTTAGCCAGAGTTTGTGTCTGTGGTAATGAATGTCAAACAGTGTTTCCTGGAACATACTCAGCTTTGTGGGGATCATCTTGATGCTCAAGCCTTCTGGCTCCTTTTAGCATCTTATCCAGCCATGCTGATGTCTAGATGAGAAACCTTAGCTCCAGTGAGGGCAAAGAACCTGCTTGAGGTCACACAGCTAGCTAGTGGAAGCTAGGACTAGAACCCACAACCCAAGGCTCTTATCTCTGCACCAGCTACATGGTTGGTAGAGCAAGTAGCTGCATTTCCTAGGCCTGGGTCCCTTCCTCATTGGCTGGGCCCTCAGCTCTGGCTGGGAGAGGCAAGCAGTGGACGTGTGCTGATGGGACCTGTCTGCGGTTTTCCGGGGTGAGGGAGCTCTTAGATTGGTCACCAAGGGTCCCACATTTGGGATGCAGCTCGAGCAAAGAAAACAGGGAGGGAAAGGGATTCTGACAAACTGTTCCTTAGTTCTTCAGGGTCAGAGGCCAGGGCAAAGGTGCAGCCAGCCACTCTTGGCTTCTTTGTTCTAAAATATGATGGAAGGCAGTAAAAGGAAACTATTCATTTCTCCCTGGTTACCCCCACCCCCCACCCCCTTGTGGTGCTGGGGACGGACCTCAGGTCCTCATGCATGCTAGACAAGGGCTCTACCACTGAGCTACACCCCAGCCCTTCTTGATTCAGAAATGAAGGTGGTTGATAAAAGTGGGACATAGCCTGTTTCTCTTTCCTTACCCTGGACCCTTGAAGGTGCCAGCTCAAACACTACCTTTTTCATTGTATCTTAGTGAGTAGAGACTGATCTGTTGTGGGGGAGTAGTTGGGGGTTCAAGTAGATCTTACGACTCCAGGGGCTGGCAGGGAGCAGGCCAGGCTACCATGCCGAGAACCTCACGGCTCCTTCCCCAGACTCCAGCTACCCCTTGATCAAAGCCAAGGGCTGCTCAATGAAGTTTGCCACGCTGTTCCTGCAGTCTGGTGAGGGGCAGTGAGGGGCATTTTTCTTTCAAGCCCTGGAATCTGATTTGCCATTAGCTGTTTTCCCACCCCAACCTCACATCCCTCTCTTTTCAGAGGGGCCAGGTGCCCCCTTGGGAAGAAGTCCCTAGGGTGAAGGGCAGCAGAGCCCTATCTAGTGAGGCTAGCAGGCAGTGGCTCTGTCCTTTGTCTTAGCAGCCCTGGGGAAAGGTGTTTGGCTGTCAGACTGGAATTTAATTGTCACCGTCTTTGATTTTGTGACATTTCTGCTTGAAAGGGTGAAACCCCCCTTCCCACTCCTTAGCATGTGTGCCAACTCTCCCTTGTTAGCTCAGGGAGTGCTGATGTCTCCATGTGAAGAGATTCCGGTGTGATAGAACCTAAGGAGTTTATGTTGGAAGTGATCCCCGTGACGATGACTTTTCCTTCTTTCCTCTTAGTGAGGAGGTGAATTGTAGACCCTGACTGCCTATGTAATGTAAATAGTGTACATTTAATTTATTGCTATGGTGGCACATTGTATTTGTTAATGTATAAAACAAATTCTAAGAGGTTGAGAAATGTATATTTTGTTGCTTAAATGTGTCTTTGCAGAAATTGACATTAAATAACATATTTTGTGTCCATCAGTGTTCAAACTTCTTTGCATGGGGCCTCAGGCCTGGGGATCACCTTTCAGTTTACTAAGGGATCACTTCTCTGCCTTTTGGCTAAGATCAAGTACAGTTTACTAAAGGTTGCATTTTAGCTGGCCCATTGCTGACTTTGGCTTGCAAGTGTTTAAAAAGTTTGTAATGAGCCATTGATGTATAAAAAACTCACCATGACTTGAAAAAAAGAAAGTACCTAGAAATTTTACATTAAAATTTCAGTTTTCTTCTTTTAAAAAATTAGATGCTAAATCTCAGGCATGGATTAGACAGAGCTCAGTGCAATCTGTCCTTTTGGGTGGGACATGAGTATACCAAAGCTGCCACTGCTCCTATCGTTCACCCCTGAAGCATTTTACTCATTCCCATTAATTGCTTATTAGCTTCTGTAGACAGGAGTGTGAGACTCTTGCTCTTCACTATTTTGTCTCCATCCTGTAACTTTCTTCTGCCCACTTTCTCAAATTCCTGATTCACTTCTTCAAGGATTCTTTCATGACTAAAATGCCCACTGTTCCTCCCTTGTCCCTCGAATGGCCCTGCTTCTTCATACACATTGGTTTACACTGTTTGGGTGCAGATTCAGAATTAATACCTATGCATTTTTTCTTAAGTTTGAAAGCATGGAATAGGTCTTGAAGTTACCTGCCAGGAAATTGGTTTTGTGATCTTGGGCAAACTGGGTAACTTGCCACGCTTTGCATTTTTAAAATGTATTACCAGAAATATAATTCATGTATAAAGCATGAGGATACAAACAAATTCATAATTGGGAAAGAGCTTTGAAAAAATGACAGATGTTCTTCAGTCACTAGAGGTTAGATAATAATACCAACAGTAGCAGCTGACATTGCAATCTGACCATATGCTAATTGTTTTACATTATGTAGTCAGTTTTGTTATACCTGTTCCTAAAAATACAACACGGTGTGAAGTTGTGCAGTCACACGGCTTATGTGGAAAAATAGGGTTAGGTACATACCGCTCAAAAGTTTTGTTAGTGACGCATAAAAATAGGAACTTAATAAAACTAGTAACAATTTTATATATGTTAAATAAGAAATAAATACTACAATAAACAAGGCATTGTAGCTTGAGAAAGACCTGAATTTGCCTTTGGAAGTAGTGAGAACTTCTGAAATTGGATGGACAGCCATAATACCAGATGTAGGTAAGTGTGACCTATAGCACACATGGTACACTGAGGTAGCTGGTAGCTGCCTAAGGTGTGTGTATGTGTTTCTATGTGGCTCGGTTTAACTGGCTGCAGTTTTCTGCATTCACCTAATATTTCTCATGGATGAGTTGCATAATCAAAAATACAGTTCATATTATATTCATTTCCTATTAATTGCATTGGACCAGATTCCCATTTTAAAAACAAATGTTACAATATAGCTGATTATAATCTCATTTTATCATCTAAACCCATTAAGATGTATTATTATTTCCATTTCACTTGAGGGGTCAGAATTACATTTTACCTTGAGACCCAGATCTGGTAGGCTGATCTCAAAGTGAAGTTAAGTGCTGGGCTGTTGGGAGTTCTGGGTGCACGGAAATGCACCGGGTAAGATGTGCTCTTTGGTTTCCCCACCCAGCCTAGAGCTCCTTCTGGAACCCATGTCTGCGGTCTCTTGTCTCCAGACTGAGACACAGACACCAAGACATGCTCAGCAATACCTTCGTTGAGCCCATGATTTCAGCTTCCTAGTTCTCAGAGCTTTAGATTCCGCCTGTTCAATCTCTTATGGCTGCAGGTGAAGCTGCATCTTTCACACAGTTATTCCCTGCTTGTTTGCACCTCACAGTTTGGCTGCTTCTTGGAGTTAGCCCTTCTTCCAGGAAGCTGAGAGATCACTTGTGGCTGGAGCCTTGTGGATGTTGAGTTACTTCTTGTCTGTATGGGAAAGTGCTGTAGGAGACATTGATACCATTCAGCTAGACCAGTTCCTGTCCCTCCAAACCTTCAGAACTGTTAGTCTAGATGTGTGTTCAGATGTTCTCCTCCACCAGCTGGGCACTTCTTCATATTGGGGACTCAGTTTTAGGACTCTTGAAATCTGTTTCTCCCACTTCAGTGTCTAACAGCTTGTAACAGTCATTGGGCAGCTGGTGGGACACTAGTCTGCCTACTCCAAGGGGCTTTTGGTCAGGCTGGTCGGGCTGTGCTCAGGTTTTCTCTCAGCCTTGTTTTCTGTCTATGTTCAAGATGCTGCCCACTAGTTGTGCTCTCAGTCTTTTCTGTCCTCTAGGTAGCTGGCACCAATAATATATCACAGTCTGATTCTGTAACTTTGAACTAACCCTCAGTTATTAAAACAATTTCATTTCAGTTCACACTTCATCTTGTTTTAAACTTCATTCTATTTAAAGCTCAACCCCTTCTGGGTGGGCTGGCCTGGTGGGTCCACTGTCTTGCTTCGGGATGTGGCAAGAACTTACTCAGCTCATCTGAGACTTCTTTTTGACCATCCCTCATTTTGAATCCAATTTTAGCCAAGAATCCTGCTAACCCAGTTTGAGAACCCCTATTCTTGATATCCAATCCAGTCACTTCCTTCTTTCTTGATATCCAACCAAGTTCCTCTTAATAATTTTCCATTTAAGAAAATTACAGACTCTGAAAATTGGCCATAAATTCCCACTTGTCCCTGTCATGTTCAAGGTTGGGTTCAATCTCTTCCCATCACAATAGTGTTGAATAAAGTCTCCTTTGCCTGTTTACTCCTGTCTAGTGCAGGGTTTCTTTACTTACTGGTGCTCTGCTTTCCTACCTGTCTCAGTTACTTTTTTATTGCTGGGACAAAATACCAATAGTAAGTTAAGGAGGAAAGGTTTATTTTAGCTCACAGTTTGTAGAAGTTTTAGTCCATAGCTTGTTCCAAGGCAGGGCAGCATGGCAGAGGGAAACAGTCTGTATCAGGTTGGGCAGAAGGCAGCAAGCCTGCCTTCCATCTTTTCTTTTATATTCAATCCAGGCTACAAGCCTATTGGTTGGTGCCACCCACACCTAGGTGGGCCTTCTCATTATCTACACCCAGAGATATGCTAAACCAATCAGTGGACCAAATTAGTTTTCACACACCGTTAATCCATCCTCACATACCCTAGATCCAGCCATCTCCAAAAAGTCCCACCTATGAGTACATGAAGCTTTGAGGGAACATCTAGATAGAAGCCATAACACTCCCCATCTTCTTTGGACTTCCACACCAGTCCTGGGGTGGGGAGGAGAGAGGCAAAAGTAACCTCCTGTTTTGAGACTGCTGGTTAGCGTACTTTGAGAAGCAGACACCAAGACAAGGAGCTGGAGGAGTCTGGAAAGCTGTCATTTGACATTCAAGTCTGAGTGAAGGAGAGAGGAAGGGAGAAAGGAAGCTTTCGCAAAAGCATCTAAGATGGGAGCACAGTTCTAAGAACTCATCAAGGGCAGTGGGGTTGTCTTCTAGCTGAAGTTATCCAACGGAGGAGTCCTCCATATCCCAAGAATGATCCTAAAATTACTACCCCTACCACATCCAGTCATTGGGTGCAGCCTATGGGAAGCCTGGCTTCAGTGTAGTTCTAGTACAAACCCACACTTAGAGAACTGGTGGGCTGATGGTCTTAAGTCCTCATCTGAGTCTGAAGACCAGAGAACCAGGCATGTCTAAGGGCAGGAGAAGATGGACATCACGCAGCTCGAGCTGAAAGAGTAAATTTGCCCTTCCTTCACATTTTATTCCTTTCAGATCCTCAATGGAATGGATGACACCCACTTGCATTGATAAGAGTGATCTTTACTCAGTCTACTGTTTCTTCTGGAAGCATCCTTACAGACACACTCAGAAATCATGTTTTACCAGTTATTGGGCATCCCTTAGCTTCGTCAAGTCAGCACATAGAACCAACTATCACACAAGTCAAATGTGCCCCCTGCCTTGTGAAGCCCATTCTCTTCTTATATTGCCTGGGGAATGAGGTGGTAGTATTGGTTTTATTATGACTCTGATGCAGTGGTGTCTCTCTGCATGTCTGATGGGGCTCTGTGGCTGGTTCTAGCGACTCTGATGGTTTCTGAATTTGGAATGTGAATTTGGTGGGTCGCTATTATGGTTCATGGAAACATTTCCCCTCAACATTTAATGGTGCCCTCTGTGTTCCTATGGAAGGCCTTGTTTTTGGGAACCAGAGTTAAGTTCCAGAGAGGAAACCCTAGACATAGTTTTGGCACATAAAGGTAGTGACCCAGGGAAGAAGACTTCCACCTCCATTTCTTGAGGTAGAGATGATATTCCCTGGAGGCATCTGGGACTGGAGGAACCTAGTAGAAAATTATATTTAAATTTAGAGCAGCCCTTCCATACCGCAGAACAGGTGTTGTCTTAGTTACTTTTCTCATTGCTGAGACAAAATGCCTTGCACTCAAAGTTAGAGGGGGAAAGGTTTATTGTAGCTCACAGATTGTGGTTGGCTGGCTCCAAGGCAGGGTGGGATGGCAGAGGGGCATCACAGAGGACAGTCTGTGGCAAAGCAGGCCAGGCAGAAGGCAGCAAGCAACAAGTAATAGATTCTTTCTGTCCCTTTATATTGTATCCAGGCTACCTGCCCTAGGGTGGGGCACCCTTAATCCTACCCAGAACTATGCCAAACCAATCAGTGGACTAATTTAGTAACCACACACCCTTATTCCCAGAATCACACACCTTGGATCTAGCCACCTCTGGAAAAGCCTGACCTGTGACTGCATGAGGCTTTGCCGGGACATCTAGACACAAGCCATAACAGGTGCCTTCTTATCTAGCAGTTCAGCTTTAGGGTGCATAAAAATTGCCTAGAGATACTGTTAAAATGCCGATTTCAGGTATTACTCCAGAGATTACAATTCATTTGGTCTGAATGTGGCCCAGGAATCTGCAACCCCAGGTGGAATTCTGCTGATGTTTTTCAATTTGGGAACCACTGATCCATGATCCAGTTTACATTCTCCATGT